TATCATCCTCTTCATCCCCGCTCCACTTCCACTGGAGATCTCACTTGATATTTCAATGAAAAAAAAATGGAGCAATCAGGCATCATTGGGAGTTCCTTCCCTGCATAGTCCCGTCTTCCTCCCTTTCACAGGGAGGAAGGCTAACCCGTCTACTTTGTACACTCAAGCCCATCCCTTCTTGCTCTGTTAAGTACTTTTCTCCTGCACGTACATGTTCTCTCCTGGATCACTCTCATCAACGTACGCACATGCTCCAATATATGCCATTTTTAGAAAACACACAAATAATCCTTGACCCCACATACCTGTCCAAATACCGTCCCATTTCTTGGCTCTCCTTCATAGCAAAACTGCTTGAAACCATTTTATGCACATCTGCTGTCTACAGTTCTTCGGCCTCTTCCAGTTCTTCAGTGCTCCAATCTGGCTCCATTCTCACTCTACTGAAATCTGTAAGTGTCCATTCTGTTTGCAGGTGTAACTGTCATGTCTCATCCTCATCTTGACCTCTAATGTAGCATTCAATATCTTTGACTACTACTTCCTTCCTAATCAGATTGCCTGTTGTGGCTTCTGTGACACCATTCTTTCCCCTATTTTCTTGCTGTCTCTGAGTTCTACTTGTGAGTTTTCTGTAGTGGTTCTCTTCTTCTACTCAGCCTCTGAATGTAGAAATGTCCTGGGACCCAGTCCTGAGCCTTCCTCTCTGTGTAGAGTTTCATAACTCTCAGAACCTCTCCCATGAGCTCTAGATGCATATCCAAATGCCTGCATGGCATCTCCACTTAGATGTTTTATAGGCATGCTCTGTCTGAACTTGTCCGAACAGAAATCTTGAATTCCTACCACTTCTCTATGTCAGTAGATGTTGCAATCACCCACTGAATGGCTAACACAAAAAACTTAGGTGACTCTTCCTTTTCCTGCATCCCTTCCATCAGCAAGTCCTGTTAGTTCTGCCTTCAAAGTATATCCCACGTCCATGCAGTTCTCTCCAGCATCACTGATTCCACCGTTGTCCAAGCCATCATTATCTCCTAAACCTATTGTAGTAACCTCCCGGCTCCCACTCTTTCTTGTTGTAATGCATTCTCCTAGAGCGGCCAGAGAGATCTTTAGAAACGTAAATCTAGTAATTCAGTGTCTGCTCTTTGTGCTAGAATAAAATCCCAGCTCTTTACCATGTGTGGCCCAGGCCCCTGTGTGATCTGGTTCCTGCCCACCTCCCTGGCCTCATTTCATATTGCCCCCACTAGAAACACACTGGTACGTCTTCACCTTGGGACCACTGCGCTTATTCTCATGTTCCCAAACAGCTTTTCATGGTTGGCTGCATCTCATCATCCAGGTCACAAATGTCAACTTCCCCGAAAAGCCTTCCCTGAGCACCTTATGTGAAGTCACCCCTCCCAGTCTCTCTCTATGGGGCTGCTTATTTACTGTCTGTCTTACCCTACTGGAACTTATTCTTCATGGGGGCAGGGATGATGTCTAGCTCATTCACCTCTGTATTCCAGTGGTTACAGTAGTTCTTAACCTCTAGTAGGAACTAATCAAATGTTTTTTGAATACCTGAATGAAAAAATGTCTGGAATGTCATTCAGTTTCATGTTATATTGCTTCCATCACTCTCTCTTACCGAAATCGTGACTGCCACCAAGAGCAGTAATTTCCTGATTATTTTTTTCTAAAAGCAATAACTCTGTTTACTATTGAAATAGTAAATCCAAGAAGGATAAGGAAAACCAGTTAATTAACATTGTTAAAAATTGCGTATGAAGAAGACCAGAGAATTCAGAAGTAAAGCAAGGAATTAGTGAGGTGACAATATCCTTATCTGTTTCCCAATTCCTGAGTCCCTTTTTTTTGTTTTTCTGGTTGGGAGGAGGCTGGAGATGTCCAGAAGCTGTGTTGTCGAGATCTTTATCTATCCAGTCTTACAAGAAATACAAGGGAACGAGAGGTGTTAGAGGTGCTTTGAGCCCTTATGACTGGTGGTCAAAGCATGGGAAAGGAGTGGTCTGAAAGGTGGAGAAGGGCGAGCATGAGGGTTCCTTCTTGCAGGTTCTCCATGAGGAGAAGCTCTTCATGAACCTGTCATCGCTGCCTCTAGGAAGGGGTCTTGGAAGAGGAAAGATGAGTGCTCTCTTGGTGCTCTGAGGTTACCTCTGTGACTTTTATCCTTATAACCAAATATTAATATCATCTTTAGCATATTACTAGATCAGACTTGAGATGATGGGGTTTTACACAGAGGTTGACAGCTTTCTTTTTAAGTTCCTAAGTTGACCCAAAGTAGGCAATAATAGTAAGGAATTTTTTTCTTATTGTAGTAAGTTTACATGACATAAAATTTACCATGTTAATCATATTTAAGTGCATAGTTCAGTTACTTTAAGTCCACTCACATTGTTCTGCAACTGTCACCACTGTCCATCTCCAGGACCTTTTCAATCTAAACCTAAACTCTGTCCCGTTAAACAGTAACTCCCTCTTCTCCCCTTCCCCTAGTCACTGGTAGCCACTATTCTATTTTCTGTCTCTATGAAGTTGACCATTCCAGGTACCTCATATAAGTGGAATCATGCAGTATTTGTCCTTTTGTGTCTGGCTTACTTCACGTAGCATGATGTCTTCAAAGTTTGTTTTGTGTCATGAATCAGAATTTCATTCCTTTTTATTTTCTAATTTTTTTAAAATTGAAATACAGTTATATATATTTATGGGGTACATAGTGATGTTTTGATACATATAATGTATAGTGATCAGATCAGGGTAATGCACCATCATCTCAAACATTTATCATTTCTTTGTGTTGAGAACATTCAATATCCTCCTTTTAGCTATTTGAAACTATATAACATATTATTGTTAACTATAGCCATGGTACAGTAGTAGAGAACACTAGAACATATTCCTCCTATCTAGCTGTAATTTTGCATCCTTTAGCAAATCTCTCCCTATTCCCCTCATTCCTTTTTGAAGCTGAGTAATATTCTACTGTATGTATATACCACATTTTGTTTATCCATTTAGCTATTAGAGATGTGGGTTGCTTCTACCTTAGCTATTGCAAATAATGCTGTTATGAACATGGGTATACAAATATCTCTTTATATTCCTGCTTTCAGCTCTTTTGGATATATACCCAGAAGTGGAATTGCTAGATCCCATGGTAATTCTGTGTTTAATTTTTTGAGGAAAGTATTCAAGGGCTTTTAAACCCACTTAACTATTAGACAAAAGGTTTGTCATTTATTGGTTCATATGTGCCATGTAGTGTGTTAGGCATCAGAGAAATGGAAATGAATGGGACAAGACTCCTACTCTCAAGAAATGCAGGGCCTTAGGACAAGGGACAAAGTCAAGAGATGCATAAATAATTAGCCATTATATACTGTTTTCAATTCTGTAATAAAATATATGTAGAGTACTATGAGAACACGTTATAACAATAATGATCTAGTCTAGTGTTTCTGAAGATAAGATCTCACTGGATATTGTCTGAGATGGATGTTTGACAGAATTCTGGTTAATAGTGGGCCATGCAGTATAGAAGTTCCAGTGTACAAGCTTTTGTTGTACATTTGGTTTTTTAATAGCTAGCTCAGTCCATTCATCTTTTCTGTGACCTAAATGTCTCTCTTTCCTTTTTTCTACCTCTAGTGGTTTTTAATTGCCAACAGATCTTACAAAGTCAGTGCGGCAAGCTCTTTTTTCTTCAGTGGTGTGTTTGTTGGAGTTATCTCTTTTGGTCAGCTTTCAGATCGCTTCGGAAGGAAAAAAGTCTATCTCACAGGTAATCTATTAGAGTGTTCACGAACTGAATAAGAGGACTTATTTCTCTAAGATTTTTAGGGAAATATTAAGGGGACTATTTCCTTAAGGTTCTCAGGGAACTGGCACAGAACTGATTTTTATTACACCGGCAAGAGGCCAGACTGCAGGCAGAGTTGATTTTGGCCAAGCATTTTTAGTGACAAGCCTATCTACTTAAGGCCAGATATTTGTGTTGTAAACTTTTCATCAGTGATGGTGCTTTCTGCAACCCCCAAATTCTAATTTATGCCATGTTTTTAAGGAGAGCAGCAAAATATTGAGACAACTTACTAGATTCATTTCTTTATATCTCTCTGTGTTAATTCATTTCACATGAGCTCTACAGGACTCGGCATAGCACACTTGACAAGCTGAGCATGAGCAAGGATTTTTCAATTTCCAGCATTATTGTGAATAATTGAAAACTGGGTGTGATTGACAGAAATCATGTAATAAAGAAAATAAACCTCAGTTTTCTTTATAGTTTTTAAGAGAAACTGTTAAAAAAAACATAGCTCAGAAAATTTAAGTTTACAAAGGTTTGTTTTATAAACTAATGAATATAATTTATTACTTTCATCAAATGCCATTTTGCCTCTGGATTATTGAATATTGTTCTTTCTTTCTAGGTTTTGCTCTTGACATCTTATTTGCTATTGCAAATGGATTTTCCCCTTCGTATGAGTTTTTTGCAATAACTCGATTCCTGGTGGGCGTGATGAATGGAGGGATGTCACTGGTGGCCTTTGTCTTGCTGAACGAATGCGTGGGCACCGCCTACTGGGCACTTGCAGGTACTGCTTAAATCACACAGATTTGGATGTGGTGAGAGGCTCCAGAAAGTCCTGTAGGGAACCGGTTTAACTCTAGAGTCTGAAATACATTTGGACTTGAGGTGCTCTATCCAACTATTAGACAGTCTTTCCTGAGATTGTTCTGTATGACCTTGAACGAGTTATTTTATTCCTATTCCTCTGTAGAAAGTCTTCCCTGGGGCCTACCTCACAGATGTGAGCTTGCCACCCACCTCATGGATGGCTTACAGGTTATTATGGAGAGGTCAGTTTCTTCAGAAGGGCATTAACCACTTTTTACATCTTAAGCTGAAAAACAGTGCAGAGATAGGAAATACTAGAAACTCCTTTCTTGGAGTTTTCTTCCTATATAAATCCTTGTTTCATGGTCCTGTCTTGTTTTAACCATTCTCCTCAATTCAGCAGATAGTACTATTGTAGCATTTCTTTACTCATACTTAATTTCCAAAATTGAGGCTGTATTCTGTATTATTTTTAACCATCCCATTACCTTCTCAAGAACTACATATATAGTAAAATAAATGATTTTAAAAGGTTATTTGACTTAAGATATTGCCTTGAGAGAGTGCCTAAGACTCTACTTTGTGGACTTAGGTTTGCAATGATAACTTTTTTGTTTATTTTCATTCATTTGACAATGATTGAGTACCACTGATGTTCTTATGTCAATATGGGAAACAAGTTGACCATGTGACAAATAAAAATGTGTCTGAGTGAGGATATATATGAGACAATATCTCTGTCTTCCTATAGAACTGATGCACAGTGCCAGCTATCACTTGCTGCGTATCTGTTAAGTGCCAGGTACCATGCTAGGCATTTGACATATATCTGTAATATCCCCAGAGCTTACAAGTTAAGAATTTCTACCTTCATTTTATGGATAAGAAAATTGAGCCTCTGAAGGGTGAGGTGACATGCCCGTTTTCACGTAGCTCATAACTGACAGGGCCAGGATTGCATCCTGGGCCTGGCTGACACCCAAGCTCACATCATTCCCGCTGTTCCCTGAGGACGCCTATGGAACTTCAGTCTGTCACCTCACGTGAGTGCTGGCCTGGTCAACCTGTTATTTCTAACTATTGTTGTTTTTGAAGTTGTGTGAGGTCCTACATAGAGCTGGAAGACAAAGGCTAAATAAAATAGACTCCTGCTTTGTTTGTGTGTCCACTAAGCTGTTGTTGAACTGAAGAATGCGTAGTATTGGGGCAGTTAGAACTAGTTTAGGGAGCAAGAGATACCGGCTTCATCCTAGTCGGACAGTCTTCCTGCTGCTTTCTCACAAAGCAGTGCTTTATCGTTCACCTTGTCTATAGCAACGTCCAAAGCCTTTTGAAACAAGCTGTTAATACTTTTTCTCTCTAGCCCAGCTTCTAAGCTAAGACCAGTGACAAGACTTCCTCTGAGTCTTCAATTTGCATTGACATTTTAAGGTCATTTTTCTAAATAGTGGGACCCGACTTTCTGGGACTTTCCAAGAAATTAGTAATGTTGGTGATCACCCCTGCTCCCTGTATCCAGGGAAAGCATTAAGGCACTCTCTCCTTTGATTTCAGTTTCCCTGAGGGCCAAAATTATGCTCATGTAAAGCATCATTAATACATGTTTTTCATGTACTTATCACATTTCTCCATTAAAATATTAACATTTGACTTTAGTTGTTGCATGAGGATGCTTTTTTACAAAAGATGTATACTGCCTCCACCCTGTGAGATTATGAAAGGATGATCCCCATCCTGTTGCATGTTGGGCAAAAAGAAAGACCTCCTAGTCTCTTGTTCCCTTGCCAGTTGCCTAAAACCAGTGAAAAGTTTCCATTAAAATACTTTAACCTCCTATTCTTGTCATTGAAGCTGGGTTAAAATGAGGCTGTTAAATTTTCTGTCACAAAGAAAAAAGGGAGTCAGGAAAAAAACCTGTAACAGTAGAACCAGATGGTTACCAAATGCAATGTGAAATTCAAGGAGAATGTGAGGGTTCCCTAAAGGCTGGTACAGCAACCTGCACCCAGGACGAAAGTAAGGCTCCGATAGCACCTAGAACTCTTTCGTGAGGAGCTTCCTTCCCTCTCTCATGAACTGAGGTCTTCCCCGTGGTTTTGTCCTTGTCAAGCTGGTTTTTTTCCATGGCTTCAAATATGCTCATGAATTGCAAGAAGTTGGGAAAAAAACTAAATGTTCAGCAATAGGGGATTCATTGGAAATAGCCTGATTATTTAGCAATAAAAAATTAGTTTGAAAAATTATGCTTGATTACAAAATATTTGCAGTATGTATAAAATGTGTAAAAAATATGTATAAAAAGCATAAGTACAAACTGCAAGCATCTAATTTTACCAGTTTGCAAGAATTTTAATAAGAAGAATGAGGTTAAGTGCCTGAAAATTGAGTATTAAAAAACAAAAATACTAAAGCTATGAGAAATTTTATGTTGCTGTATTTATTATTTGTTTTCTTATATTAATATCTTTGTATAACAGGAAGAATTGGTGATCATTGTAAAACAAAATCAAGAAATGTATACAAGTCTAACATTATATATATAGTCCTAACCCCTAGAGACAACTGGGTATGCTTCCAGAGCTCTTCCTTTGCATATCCATTCCATAACATTCATTTATTGAACAGACCCTGCCTTACACCAGACACTGCTTTTTTAGGCACTTTGGATAAAAGACTGGACAAGACAGGGATGGGTGGGGAGAGGTCCCAGCTCTCATGGAGTTTATGCTTTAATTAGGAGAGGCAGAACAAATAGGTGAATTCAGAAACTTACAAGTACAGTGAAGAAAATTAAACAGGATAATGGGCTAGACAGTAAAATTGTAGGTGGTAGTTACATTAAATAGGATAGTTAGAGAAAACGTCTATGTAGTTGTTTGATCTAAGACATGAATGATAAGGAAGATCTAGGCATGTGAAATTCTGGGAGAAGAACGTTCCAGCCAGATGGAATGGCAAGGACTAAGGCCCTGAAGCAGGAAGGAGCTTCTCTGAGAATTGAAAAGATATCTGTGGCTGCAGTGTAGAGAGTTAGGGGAAGAGTGAACTGAGAGGTCAGAAGGAGCCAGATGATATAGGGCCCATGGTAGGCCAGATGAGGGATTTGTTTTTTATTTGAAGTACAGTGGGAAGCCAGTGGGGTGCATTAAAAAGGAGAGTAATGGGATCTCATATATACAGAGAGACGACTCTGGTAAGTGATGAAAAATGGATGATAGAGGAGAAAGTAGAAATTGAGAGATCATTTGGTAAGCTGTCATAGTTGGCCACGAGAAACCAGTGGTGGCTTAGACAAAAATGGGAACAGCAGAGAAGGAGGAAAGAGAGTTCATTCAAGCTGGATTTTGGTGAGAACGAGACTCGATAAAGGACTTGCAGAGATGGGGAGTAAGAGGACTCAAGGAAACATCAGGCTTGTATTTGAAAACTAGATGGCTCGTTGGTGCCATTTAAAAGATGAATTCATAGCTAGATACTATTTTCTAACCTGCTAAATTTAGCTTTTTCTCGTATAAACTGAGCAGGTATAGCAGACTTGAAATGAATTAAAAATAAGCAAAAATAAATCTAAAAAATAGGTATAAATACATAAAAGCATATAAATAGTTAGAAAACCACCCATGGTACTCCAGAATTATAATATGCAAAAGTGGTGATTTGAAATGTTCATTTTTAATTAATTTTTTTAACCAAATAACCTAGAGCCTTAACATTTACATCTCTATGCCTTTTCCCTGTTGTCAGTTCCAGACACATACATGCAGCTTCCTCTTGGACATTAGATAAGAATATCCATTGGCCCCTCAAATAAAAATAATTACTTTCTTTCTGTCTAAAATCTGTATCTTCTGGGACCTCTACCTATGTCATCACAGTATTTAAGGTCACCAAACTAGATGCCTTTGAATCATTTCCTCTTGTCTGTCATATCCAGTTGATGTTAAGTCTTACTGATTATGACAGAGACTCAACTCTAATGAGCTCATACACAAAGGGAAATTATTTGGTTTAACATAACCAAACCATGATGAGCCAGGCCTTGGAGATGCCCAGAACCAGAAAGTCAGATACTTCTTCATCTCTGCTCTCCATCCTCTCTGAGAAGCTTCCTCTGCTCAGTCAGAGAGACAGGGCCCAGGCTGGTCTCAAACTCCTGGGCACAAGCGATCCTCCTGCCTTGGGCTGCCAGAGTGCTGGGATTACAGATGTTAGCCCCTGTGTCTACCCTCTTCAGGGACCTCATATTCTGCTTGGGAGAGAGAGATGAGAAACAAATAATTATAAAATGTCACATATCTGATGGTGATAAGTTAAGTAGGGAAGAGCAACAGAGAGAGTTGGGGGAGTGTGTTGTCATTTAAGATAAGAATTTCAAGGACAGCTTTAGTGATAAAGATTAAATCCCAGTATTGCAATAACCTCATGATGTAAAAACCGTATCACCCATATGGCAAAACTATTTCCAAGCCTCAGCCACAGGTTGAGGCAGATGTCAGTACAGCAGTCAGTGCAGAAAGCATTTGGACAAACTCTCATAATTCATTTTGTCCCCATATGGTTTGTATTTTTCATCTGTCCTTCCTCCATTTCCACTAATTTTCTGGCCTCTGTTATAGTTTTATCATCTGATGCTCAACATTTGGGTCATTTTTTTTCTTTTCTGTTCTGCCTCTTCCACTTGCCAGGATAGGGCTGATATCTCATAAGGAAAGAATTTGCTCTGTGACTTGGGGTTGGAAATGGTGGTGCAGATGGTGCTTTCTCCAGTGACAGTTCTCTTTTCCCTGAATTAGGATCGATTGGTGGCCTCTTCTTTGCAGTTGGCATCGCCCAATATGCCCTGTTAGGATACTTCATTCGCTCCTGGAGGACCCTAGCTGTTCTGGTTAACCTGCAGGGAACAGTGGTCTTTCTCTTATCTTTGTAAGTACTTTTTCCTCTTAGAGTTTTAATTTAATAAGCCGATGGAATGTTTTAAGAGGATGCTGGTCAATGAGCAGCGTTATTCCCTTCCAGGAGGTTGCCTGCATTGACTCTGGTGAAGAACTAAGTTCTGCAAGTGCACCAATTCTTAGCAGCTCCTGGGAAGAGACATGCTTAATTAATTCAGAATGAAGGTATCCCTTGTTTAAAGTAACCCCTCAGTAGACTGCATTTTACCCTTCAGATTGTTGGCATAGGGAACCAATTTCTTTTTCAACGTAACACCTGAAGCTTAAAGGTCTTCAGGCTGGATATGATCATGTGCTGGGTGTGAGACTGAGATGTGATGTTATAGGTATCCATATGGAATGTGTAGTGACAGGTGTTCATCCTGCAGGTGAGTATCATCTCAGGGCCTCTAAATGTGCAGTCTGGAGCCAGGCTCAGAAATGGGAAACGTCCCTTGCAGGGGCCCGAGACAGTAAAGGATGATTCCCTGGTCAGGGCAGGATTCTATAAACGATCGCCCAAGGTGTCACACTGTGGTGTTCTAAAACATTCCCAAATGCCACAAGGCAAGCCACCAATTTAGGCCCATTTCACCAGAAGTTTTAATGTGGTGTATGAAAAGTTTTTCTTCCTTGAGGTGTTAGATATCTAATTTCAATCATCAAAACCTTTGACATAAACAAAATTTACAGCCAGTGGTACCCAATTTCTTCTGTGCCATAAAGTGAGGGAGACCTATAGTAGCATTTTAATTCAGATAGCTCTTTGATTTAGTAGCTCTTTATTCAGGTACCATATTGAGATTTTTTTTTTCTTTTGAGATAGCATCTCACTCTGTTACTCAGCTAAAGTACAGTGGTATCATCCTAGCTCACTGCAACCTCAAACTCCTGGGCTCCAGCGATCCTCCTGCCTCAGCCTCCCAACTAGCTGGTACTACAGGCATGTGCCACCACACACGGCTAATTTTTTTATTTTTTATAGAGATGGGGTCTCCCTCTTGCTCAGGCTGGTCTCGAATTCCTGGCCTCAAGCAGTCCTCCCACCTTGGCCTCTCAAAGTGTTAGGATTACAGATGTGAGCCACTGCACCTGGCCTATATTGAGATTTGATGGGGACTGAACTGAAATTTGTTTTCATACTATCTTTGAAAGAAAGAGAATCGTTAAATGCAAAAATGAATACAGTAAAAATAGCCTGTATTATAAAAACAAAATTTATTAAATCTACTTAGTTATGTGAATTCAAGTGAGGTAATTTTATTAGGAAGGAAAAGTAACAGTATTTTATTAGCTTGTGTACTGTAAATTTTTGAAAGTAATAAATGAGTGCCTAGTATAGAATTTGAATTAATAAGTATTCATGTAAATATTGAAGAATAAATGTATTTTCCTTTAAAATATTTGGTAAATCTTCTCCTTCTCCATCCAGTCCAGCTCTCATCTCTCTTTCAGTAGTAGCAGCATTTTAGTGGATGATCCGAGTCGTTCTGCTTTTCTTTTCCTAATATGTAGTTTGAGTTAGCTACTGCTTAGTGCCAGGTTGGGATGTCTACTCACTGGGACGTGAAGTCAGTTTATGAAACGTGGAAAGGAGACAGAGCACACGTAAGATGTAAATATATGCTTACTCCAGGCCGGGCTTCCCGCAGTCTGCCCCAGTTCATCTTTCCTCATTTCCTCCCGTCCCGTTCCCCTTTCCTGTGCTCAGGCACACTGAGCCACTGGTTCCCAGTGCACACATCGTGCTTTTCTTCTCCATGCCTCCGCTCAGTGCGGCACCTGCTCTGCCAACACTCTTCTCCCCATCTCCTCTTACTCAGTTCATATTCTGCCACTCCAATTTGCTAGAATGCCATCCACCCACGCTTTTCCTGATCTTTCCCCACCTACAAGTCATTCTCTTTCTTTTCTGATTTCCATAGTGCTTGCCTGTACCCTCTGAGTGGCCCTCAAGTTTCTGCTCATGCCGAAGCCATCTCTCTCATTCTCAGCTGGGAGCTTTCTGACAGCAGCAGGCTCTTTGCTCCACGACCATGTTTCCCCCGGCACGAAAGCCAGGGCCTTGTGCCCAGTAGAGTCTTTGTAGCCATTGGACAAATGTTGGCACAGAAACATCAAGAATTACCTTCAGAATTAGCCACCAGCCCAACATAAGAAGTCATATTATGTACCTTGTTTGTTCACCAGAAATATTTTTACCTAGCTTAAAAATTCCTTATTTTTATAATACTTGAATTTGAGTAGCTTTTTTTTAAAATCAGAGCCCCCTTAATTTATAAAGATGTGCCATCTTTAAGGATATTCACAGAACATTTTCGAGCAGATTGTTAAATTAGCATTTTAGCTTCCAAAGGTGCCCAAGACACAGGTAACTCTGCGGCTGTGTAGCGTGTAGCATATTGGAAGCCTGCTCCTTCTTTTACAAATGTGTGTTACTGTTTTGTATTTATAATCTGCATGTGTTGGAACTCATATACCAATCTGTCCACTGGCAGCTAGGTGACCCTTCATGTAATATTGGCCTCCCAAAATGAGGAGAAATAGAAGTTCCTAAGTTTGCATGATCAAACTAAACCCTTTCGGCCGGCATAGTGGCTCACACCTATAATCCTAGCACTCTGGGAAGCCCGAACGGGAGGATTGCTTGAGGTCAGGAGTTAGAGACCAGCCTGAGCAAGAGTGAGACCCCCGTCTCTACTAAAAATAGAAAAAATTAGCCGGCCAACTAAAAACAGAAACAAAAAATTAGCTGGGCATGGTGGCGAGTGCCTGTAGTCCCAGATACTTGGGAGGCTGAGGCACGAGGATCACTTGATCCCAGGAGCTTGAGGTTACTGTGAGCTAGGCTGATGCCACGGCACTCTAGCCCAGGCAACAGAACAAGATTCTGTCTCAAAAATAAATAAATAAATAAACAAGCAAATAAACAAAAAAAACCTTACCCTAGAAGAAAGTTTTATAAACTCAGAACCAAATTTCCAAAGCCTGAATATCTCTCAAATATCATCTTTAAAAATGATTTATAAAGTTAAAAAAATAGTTTTTATTGCTTGTAAACAATTCTGAAAACACAGAGAGGCTTAACAGTAGGGAAAGATGACTTACATTACCCGAAGAAAATGACTTAATATTTTGGTATATGTCCTGTTGATTCTGTTTTACTCCTTTCAATCTTGCTCAGTTTTCATTTTTATTATCGTATGCTTTCTCTGTGTATTTATCACAGTAGTCTTCTTTTATTTAGATGTAATCAGGTATTTTTGCATAGTAGCTCGTGTAAGGTCCCAGGGATAGAACCAATTGATCCAACTGATGGTCTGCAGACTTAACTTCCAACACAACAGTGTTTTACTTGATTATTTACTTGCATGTCGGTAATAATAATCAAATGGCAACGAAGAATTAAATAAAGGGATTTTTCAGGATGCTGTAGATGGCCTTTGTTCCTACTTTTGTTGACAGTCAAAAGTTGTGTATGAATATTCTCTTCCCTAGTAGCAAAGCCCCTGGGAAAATTCCTGCCTTTTTGTCTCCAGCATCTTTCCTCATAGCACCTATTACAGTGCTCTGTACAAACTTGAAATGCTCAATAAATGGTTAATGATGGACCGGCTGTCCGTTAAGGTTCCAAATCCTGTAATGTCTGTTGCTATTCCCTATCCTTACTGAAAGGCGCACAGTGAATTCTATTAATATAAAGCACCTTAAATAGCCAGTATTATTCATCCAAGTTTCATTTTAGGCAGATAATGTCAAATTAGATAAAAAAGTACTTGATATTGTGTTTAGTAAACAAGGCTCCGTGTTCCTGCCTGGGTTTTGACTTTGAAAAGTCCTCTAAAAGTGTATACAGAATGATGAAGAGGCAAAAAGATATAATATTTAAGTTTTGAGGCTGTTTGAAGATACCAGTGGAAAATAACTGCAGGTTTGTAACTAGGAGTTAACCAGAAATTAACTTTTGTTCTTTAAGGTCCCGGAGGATCAGGAAATACCCTCAAGGCATATTAAAGCTAATGTGTCAGGTGATTTGAGTATTTTGAAGCAGCAGTAAATGCTCAAAAGTAGCTGTGATAATAAACTGCTTCATTTTTATGTATAGTCTTAAAATAATCTCTACCTCCTAAATAACATATGACTATGTTAAAAACACTTCACTTTTTTAAAATCTGTTTTTTCAGATGAGATAATAAAGATAGTTCTATCTTCTTTGTGAGACTTTCTCAGAACTTTAAAAACCCAGTGTCTCTAAGTATTCTAACAACACTTGGCTAGGATTTAGAGATGGGCGGGGACCCTGCGGCCTCGAGGCCTCTTGACTGAATCCAGATTTTACATAACAAATCTTTTTAATAAAGGGATTTCTTCTGTGAAGTTTGGATTCAGTTGAAGCCCCCACAGCCGCCCCACCCCGCCTTAATGCTGTGCTAAGTTTATAGCATTATTCAGTACTATAGACTTTACTTGCCATTCGCATGTTAAAATTTATTTAAAAATAAATGCATACTGTGTACCTATTTTTAACCACCATTTTGAAAGCACATTCTTGGTTTCCAGTGATAAAATAGGCCACCATTTAACACTGGCATGCTGTTGAAAGTAGTGAGCTCTCTGTCTCTCTCGTATGTCATTACGAGAGCCGAGTTTTAATGCTAAGAGGGAATCCCTTTGTGATGAGGGAATCCACGTACTGAGTGGGTGATTTTTCTCCTCTGAATGCACGTGTACCTATATGAATATATAGCCTTTAATGACGTCTCTTTCAGATTCATTCCTGAATCACCTCGTTGGTTATACTCCCAGGGTCGACTGAGTGAGGCCGAAGAGGCACTGTACCTCATTGCCAAGAGGAACCGCAAGCTCAAGTGCACGTTCTCGCTAACACACCCGGCCAACAGGAGCTGTAAGGAGACTGGAAGTTTCCTGGATCTCTTCCGTTACCGGATCCTCTTAGGACACACTCTGATCCTGATGTTCATCTGGTAATTACGTCAAAGGGGTGTCTTGTTGATCTTCAGCTCAGGTTGCTAAAGGTCTCTTGATTATCTATTCCTTCTTCACAATTACAGAAAAGTTTACCCCTCTTGTCAGCAAGAGGTTGTTTTCTCAAAAACAAGGCCCCTGTCCCTTAGCACCTGGTGTTGCCCACGCCTCTGCTGTCGCGGCACTGTCTCTCTCTAGCAGCAGGTGTTGGCGTCCGATGGGCAGGTTCTCCGAACTTGAGTTAAGTAGACATCAGAAACACATCTTTGCTCTTGAGGTATTTAATGTAAATATTTAAGCTCCTTACCCCCTCCAACCTCCCCAAAAGGAAAGAAAGCAAACAAGCATACCAGAAACAGAAGATTTCTAAATAGGACTCTAAAAGTACCTACCTTTGGTTTTGGCATCAAGCAGTTTGCTAGTACATTCTAATTGCAGTGCTCTGTGCTGCACTGAGGTGTGCTAAATATTATCCCTTGTAGAGATGGGACCCCGGGAGTTTGAAGTGTGAACCCAGAGCCATGTATGCAAATCAGTGATTGAGCTGATGAGCACTCCTCCCAACCTGACTTTCTAGTTGTTTGGCTTATTCCTACCTGCCTCTCAAAATACTCTCAGCATATATGTAAGTTGTATTCAGGGGTTCACGATGGTTCCATTTAAAAAAATGAAATTGTAGAAAGGGAAATGCATGGGCACATACAATTCATGGCTTTCACATATTGTCCATTCTGCTTAAAGTGTCATAAATGTTATTTGGGGCATTAATCCTCATATGTCCTGGCTAAAGGACTAGACTGTTATGCTGTGGCTTATGTGTATTTGCCATGAAGGCCGCATAGAACTCTATATTTTCATGTGGATAAAGGAAATTGATTTTATAGGAACATAATGTTATATATAAAGCTAAAAAGAATAGAATGAGAATAAGAAGCTGCAAAAATATTTTTCTATATCGTGATGCTCTTTTCCTGCCCAAGCACTGGCTGCTGCCTTTCTGGTCAGGGGCCGTGTCACACCCACTACTCCCTTTCCGCACGGAACCAGCACAGTGCTGGGAATGTCACACGTGCGTAATAAATGTTGAGGCTTGGAGGCCTGGAGATTAAGAGAACCTTTGACAGCCAAACCCAACAACACAACATAGGAGCTACTAATTTGAGGTTCTGCCTATTCAAAAGCAAGTATTTACAAAATATTAATATGTTCAGGTACTTAGGGCTCCGTAAAACTCTACATTTGCATATCACATAGACAGCCAGTCAAACCCTATGCCTTGGAGGAAGCACCTACTTCTTGGAGATTGTTCACTATTTTTATTTTTAAGATTTTTATTTTTTCCATGTGTATTAACTTCTGGGTTCTGGCATTCAGTGGAGAAAACAAAAAACGAGACTTAGGGCCAGTGAGGCTGTCCCTGTTTATTTCTTGTACAGTCAAATAAACCTCTTCCCCCAGGCTCAGAATGTTAAAACACATGAAAATAGAGACAATGTCATTCCACATATTGCTGTTATTTTCGAAGATGCTATAAAATTCTAAGGTCTTTTCTGTGGATCTGTCATTGAAGAAAGCCTTAACTGGAGATTAAAATTATACCTCTGTGTTTAACATCTGTTCTTTTGGTTATTTCCCACAATGGTGCCTTTTTAAATAGTTCTTTGATGCCCTAAATATACTGTTAAATATTGTGCAACCATTTTAAATTTTGTTTGGGGCACATAAAGAAGACTGAAATGATTTTAATAGCTGTAATTATGGATCTCAGTGACCAACTCTGCCATGAAGGCAACTTGCAGAGCAGAGGCCCAGCCTTGGGGATGACGAGGCTCACATTCTCCCATTCCCTCTCACCACCAGCTGTTAACTAAATACTTCCATTGTCCTGAACTGGCTTTGTTTATTCTTGCCCTGACTTGATGCCATCAAAACTTGATTTAGTAGGTGTATATCTGTTTTCATGGCTGGTATTTCTTTGTATCCTTATACGTGATGTCCTGGCTGCAACCCTGCTTGTCATCCTTAGTATGTGAGTGACAGCTCCATTCCAGTAAGAAATAACAGGAAGTAGGTGCTGCTTCTGGCTCACTTGCTAGGGAAGGATGAATTGCTAACCAGTCCAGCTCCAGGGACTGGAGCTTTTCCTTCTCCCCATCCCTCTCTCCTTGCATTACCATAGCCCATTCTTAATAGCCTGGGGTACTTGGCCCAATTCTGTGTTTTGGAAGAGATGGAAATAAAGCTGTCCCTTTTCTGTTTGATCTTATCATAGCCACAGCTCATCAGACTTTTTCTAAGGAAAACTAAAGGGAAATAAATGAGAACTTCCCCTTAATAAATACTGGTCAAACTGAATTGCAAAAGCATAAAAACTGATGAAATTAAAACTCAGGTGTTTTACTGCTTATATAGAAATTTATGCTTTACCAAATGTATTCATACACTAATAAAGCCCAGTTTCAGGGTTTTGTTTTTGTTTGTTCTGTTCTCTTTTGTTGTTTTTAATAACGCAGTTTCCTAGGCACAGAAGATTCTATTACCACCTTTCTATCACCACTTTGAGGAGGCCCTGATTTGGAGCTTCAGACTGGCACTTTGGCGGGCTTAAGCTGCTCGGCTTTTAGTTCTCAGATTGCAGGAGATAGGCTCGGTGCCTCCCACGAAGCCTGACGCCCAAGGGGCACTCCCTAAGTGTTTGTTTCAGGAACATTGTGCATAAATACATAATGACTTGTCTTTTTTCTCTTGTTCTGGGTGTCTGTAGTTTGTGTACCTGCCGCATTCAGGATGAGGTCAAGACCTGGGCAGGGAGGTGAATGGATCATCAGGGGTTGGGGTACCAGTCATATCTGGCCTGCAGG